AAATTTAGCATTTTCTCTACCATTTCTTTTCTCTGTCTATGTTTTAATTGCTCATCAGGCAGAAAGTTGTCTATCTGAAGTACTGTTCTCTTCATGCCATACAGCAACAATTCCATAGGATCTGCCAATTATGAGATTATGCTGTAATTTCCCCAAACAGCTGGGTCTGCTTTGTTATGAGTAGAAGCTATCGGGGAGTGTGTCCAAATCTTAGTTCTCAGTCTTCCAAATCACATTAACAAAATTATCACATGCCTGGGTGAGCGTTTCTCCAGCAGTTTTAATTAATTCCAATAGTATGTTACACACTCCAAGAGGTTTATTGGCTTCTTTTTTTAACACCCTAGTATCGGCTTTCCACTTCCATCACTGGTAGAGGTAGTTCTTTGTGATTATTTGGGCTTCTCAAGAAAATATTCCTACCTCCTTCCCTTCCAGTTCTGTAAGTGTTTCAGCAGTGGGGCTCAGTTCTTGGCAGCCTGTAGTCCTGGCGTTAGAAGCAGTGGTATCTCGTCTCCCAGAGAAGGCCTCAGCAAGGCTGTGGTGGGTTTGCCAGTTCTCCCCAGCGGCATTTCTCAGGACAACTGTGCATCTCAGGAGGCTGCTGTTCATGCCAGTTTTCTGTAGTAACTGTAAAACCAGCATCTGTTTCCCACCTCAAACAAGTATATTCCTCGTGTATGCTCATCCATCTCCCTCCATCACTTCGTTTGTCAGACTAGGAGTGTCCTTCCTGTGGAGAAGGGGTCTGTTTTTGCAGGAGTTTATCTGTGGGTGCTGTAATGCAGTCAAAGATGTTCGTCCTGTTCAAATCTGTGCTGCTAGTGTGGAGGGCAGCAGATCTGGAGCCTGTGCCCAGCCGTTGTCCTGGATGCTGCAGGGATTTGTGAACTTGGAGCTCATGACCAGGATAGCCTTCAAGGGAAATGACTGGAGGCTTCTCACTTCATGTTTTCAGCTGAGTTGTGATCAAGCAGTCGTAGCTACCTTCTGGGAGAATAAACACCCCATCACACCCCATGACTCCTCTCTGAGTCATGACAAAGCGGCTGGTCTGCAAGTCCCCACAGGGAGCTGAATGTCTGTGTGATCCTCATCCCTGGGCAGGACAGCCCACTACCCCACTGGGTCGAGAGCATTTACCTCTGTACTGAAAGAACAATCAGACTAAGCTGTGCACAGTGTTACCAGTACCACCAGATAGTTTTAGCATATCTTGCTGTAAATATTCTGGTTTTAGACTTTCAGTACCAGGATGGGTAAGCAGCTGTGACATCCTGCATTCAGAAATGTTTATACAGGAGCCAAACTTCTCAACACATTTCAGATTTTATTTCTTTATTTCCAGTTTTATTTTTCCATGTGCTTTGATAATTCCTTTGCATTTCTCATGATTATTACTGTTCCATTTTTATAGCAAATTGAAAGCAAATAGGTCAGCCAATAACATGGTAATGCTTTACTATTTTTTTTATTTGGTGACTACTGAAGATAGCAGTACTTTACACTGCTTGTTTAACCAAGAAAAGCTGCCATTACTATTTAGAAGCAGGCTGTTGCTTTCTTTTCCCAGCCAGCTATGTTTTACAAACTTGAGCTCTGCTGATGCAGTCTGTGCTGTGTGCTTTGCAGCAGAAATCGTCCAGTTCAACTTCACCTTCTCCCTGGTGTCTCCAGGTAAGGATCTGCTGGCCAAATGCATCTTAGGATGGACCAGAGTGTAGTGGAGGAACTGCAATAGCAGATGGGAAGAAACTCTTGTAGACTGCTTTCCTAGATCATCATTAAATGGGTTCAGGTTGAGGAGAAAGGCTCTTAGGAGACAGAAACTGATACTACTAAAGTTAAAAGTATTTAGTTATGTTTCTGGCTCCTTGAACTTTTCTTCTCCCTGTGGGATCATAGCTAACCACAGCCTGGTAGATATAATTTTATTCTACTGTCTAGGATGTTCATGTCACTTTACAATGTTTTTTCATGAATACAGTTATTACATCCTGCCAAGATGCTGGGACATGGAGAGCTATGACCTCATTTTCCACTCTCAGCAGTTCAGAGGGAGCACTTTTACACTACAAAGTATGAAGAAATATTTACCCACATCAAGGTAACTTGGTACATACACCAAGTTCAATCATTAAGACTTGCAGTCATATTTCTTCTGCAGGGTCTCCAGTGAATTGTTGCTAAGTGATGAGGCGTTGCAATGCTGGGATCAAGTCTTCTCTTACCCCCAGGTCCTGCACTGAAGAGGGCATCTGGAGAGTTAGGGAGGTTCATACTTCTCTCACCTCAGAGCATTCCTGCACATCAGGGAGTGACTTTAGATGTGTGTATGTCAGCCAACATCAGTAAGTGAGATGAGTAATAAAAAAATAGAGAAGAGCCAGCAGAACCCAAGCACAGCTGTGTCTTTTCATCTCACTGACTCCAAAGAGCATAGTGAAGTTGAGCCTGGACAGCGACACATGAAATAAACTCTCCTGCAGAAAATCCAAGCCAAAGCTTCTTAAATAGAAGCTATTTAAATAGAAGACTGATCAAATCTTCTAAGGTACCAAATGTAACACAAAACCATGCATCTTACTCCCAAATGTGCCTATTACAGTATGTCTTTATCATATTGATTGAACCAAACCCAAAAGCTTGTATTCCTTACCAGGGAAAAGAGGGTTAATAAGGTATTAATTGACAGACATGTTTGATTTTATTTTTGCACTAATTTAGCAGGAGTCCTGTGCTGTCTGTTTTATGGCAAAATGGAGTCTTGTATTATTTCAAACATGGAATCATTATTCTGTGTGCTTATTGTAAAGACAATTGTAAAACAGATTACAGAGTTAAACACTGTGGAAAAAAAAAAATCTTTTGGTAATTGTATGAATGTTATTTGTAAGGATGTAACCAATTGTTCAAGTCCATGAGATCCTTAATCTGAGACTCCATGTCACCGGAAGAGATGAACTTGGAAGGTCAGGTGCATAGGATCCACCCTGAAAGTTGTTAGCACAAGATGAACCACCTCTCCAATGTGACCATCCCTTCTCACTGACTCTGGAGAAAGCACAGGAGCAATGCTAACACTGTCTGAGAATAATCTCTACCTAGATACCTAGATAGTATTTTATTGTCATAATCACGCATTTGAAGTCTATGTCTCTGGCCAGCATTGGCTGCTTGAAGAGGATAATATCAACTGGCAGTGTCCTGAGGTTGTGCAGTGCCCTGTTCTTGAAAGGGGACAGATCTTTCCTGACTCTCATGTTGATCAGCTTGTACCAGCAACATTAAACCAAATTATGTGGTCTGGTCCCCGAAGCATACAAGCATGGTCTGTCTCAACACAGTGTGTATGAAGATGCTTTCAAAGGATACGGGTATTTCCACAATGTTTTTTTTTTTCTTCAAAACTATCCTCATTTGCATTACTACTAATCATATTAGGGGCAGTCAGTGTAAAGAAGAGAAACCAGAAACCTCTTAGCATCATGTTCATAACCTTAAATGCCTTAATTAACTTTGCTCTAGACCCAGGTGAGAGATGTAGAGGAGAAAATAAGTGGCAAATTAATCTATTGGTCTACTTGTACATTTGAAATACATCAGCCTGACATGGTACTTACGGTTTAATGTACATGACCATTGTCATTTATCAATTTATTTATATATATTGCCATAGCACTTAGATATTCAGCAAAAAGTAGAGTTCAGCTCTCAGGTTGACTATGTAAAATCTCGTAATATTTTGTTTTTGGGGGGAAGACACAAGAGAAAGGAGCAATAAGAAATGAACCAAAAACCTTTTTAATGTATATATTTAATAAGTATTCAGCTCTTTTTTTTCTCTGGCAATAAGGACAGAATAGAGAAATAGTTAAAAGGTCTTGTTTTATAATGCTTTGCAAACTCTATCTATAATAGCACAATTCTGTAGTGTTGAAGTGAAATTCTATATACTTTGTTCTGTTTCATAAATTAATTTAATTAGTTATTGTTTGCTGAAGAGCTGAAAACTATGCCAGGAGCCTGAATCCAGACTCAACCAACATGTGTGTGTGCCATATAAAGAAACCGGTTTGAGCTGAGAGCCAGGTGTGAGCAGAGCTGAACTGAATGCAAGGGATGGGAGAACCTGCTCATAAGGGGTGTTAGAAACATGGGTCCAGACTTGCACCCAGATGCTGTAGACTGAGCAGTAGACTCAATCAGGACTTAAATTAGTGCCCCTGTGAGCCCCTGATTAGAAACCCAGCACAGGTGGGAGCATTGTACAAGAAATATCTCAGAGAGTGAATTTAGGCATGGCATAGGTGGACAATTCCCTTTGTTGGAAGCAAGAGAGGACAAAATCTGGCCTTTCAGAGCCATAGGTGGGAAGGAGCCAAAAGGAGCTGTACTGTATTGGGTCCAGTGTGTAATCCTCTATATTTGAACATGTGCAGCTCTCTCAGAAAAACAGTTTTCCTTTGCAGGCCTCCAGCCATAGTTTTTGCTTTCTTGGCATCTATAGGTCTGGCAAAGAAATGTCAAAGGTGATGGGGTGTCAGCACAAATATGGCTGTGGTTTGTACAAGGCAAGGAGAGAAAGCCTTAAAAACCCCCTAATGGAGCTGGAATTTTATTGCTTATGACTTGTCTATACAGTTGGTCTTGTCTATACAGTGGACTTGTCTATACAGTTACACCACTCAATGTTGCGTCCCACCCTACCCTAGCTACTTATGCCTGTTCCCAATTGTAAATCTATGTGGTTTAAAAGCAGTATCAACTACTCTTCTAAGCAGCAACCATTTACTAGTTTTAACTGTGTGACTTCTCAAGTCAGAGTTCTGTGCTACAATGACAATTTTTGCTGGGAGCAAAGCTGTGATTGAAACAGAATCTAAAGTATTTGAAAATGATCTATCTTGGGGATGTACTTGGGAGTGCTGTTGATTTTAACTGTGATTTAGCTAGCATGATTCCTGACATCAGTGTAACATTGGGTTTTTTTCTCATAGGTTGGCTGGATTAACTGGCTCCCATTCAGAGGGAACTTGACAGATCTATTTCGCTTTCGTTGAACTCTCTACTGCACATCATAGGTCCAGAGGCTGCATCAAAGACAACTGAGCGGCACAAAAATGTGACTCTGACAAGAGACTCCAAGCTTTCTGCCAAGGAGTTTTCTACTGATCAGTTTATAATTTAAATGTATAACCAAAGCATGCATAACAGTTAACCTGATAAGGAAAAAAAAAAGCTTACTTATTGATTAGGACTGCTAAAGTAGCAGTCACTTGAAGCTTCAAAATGAGTGCTCCGTTAATCCCAAACAAGTCATGTTATGCTCAGCTTCAGGACAACCGCAGTGAAATGAAAAATAATAATGAAAGCATAGTGAGTGTGGGGGATACCAATGCCAATCAAATTGTGACAAAAGTTAGAACCCCTGAAGGAGCTGTCACAAAATGCGATTTGATGGATGAGAGTGGGAATATACAGTCTGGAGGATCAGAGAAAGTTACTCATCTGAATACAGAGCAGAATAAACTTCTGGCCTTCAAAGACTCTCAAACCTGTCACACCGCTGTACAGGAAAGTAAGCTGCCCTCCACCACAAGCAAGGAAATGGGGAAAGACTTTAGGACCAGAGAAGCTAAGGACATAGCAAGGCATACTAGGATTAGCCGAGGACAAAGTCTGTCCAATTTAAAAAGTAACACAAATGATGCCAACCTAGAAGTTATATCCAAAGGTGATGTTGACCTCACCCAGAACTTTTCTAAGGGTAAAATGTCTAGGACTGTGGAGGTGGAGAGAATAAAAAGGCTTTCTTTAGGAAGACCAAATAAATTCTCTCCTCAGTCTGAAGCATTCGCAAAAGACTGTGTTGGCCGTGTGTCGAGTAAACGCCTGCTTTCTGCATCACTGGACTCCATCGACACGTCACACCATTTGACAGGAAATACAGAGAAATCACAAAAAACATCCACAGGTCATTTTGTTGGGATGGTGTTTCATCCACTTGACAATACCTCAGAGGAGAATATCGTATTTTATTCCAAACCATCTACCTCAGGGAACAAGAAACTAAGTAAACCGGAAAATGTACCAAATGTTAACGTTGAAAGCACACTGCATACTTCTCATTCTCAACATTCAGATGTGAAGCCCAATGAAATTACTAGTAAATCAGAAGCACAATTAAGTCAGGGTGATAAAAGTAAAAAGATGGAGCTTAAGACTGCACCATCTCTGCAATATAAAAATACATGTCAACAAAAGATTGAGAGAATTATGCTGGTAGAGTTCCTGGGATGTCAAAAAGGCGAAAATACATCAGTGGAGGAAGAGAAATGCTCTGGGTCTTACGCTTCAAAATTTCAAGCATCCCATTTTCAAGAGACCTGTAATAAAGTAGAGGATCCATTATCAAGTCCCGACGACAAATTGTTTAGTGATGTCAACATTGGTGGGGAAGGGAGAGGAAGCAATGATGGTGACAACAGGGCAACTAGTCAGGATGGTGAGGAAAATCCTGACAAAGAAGTGGAAAAAATATTCTCACTCACCTGCAGTAGTAAATCCAGTGGCAAATTGACACCTAGAAAAAATGAAAATTTACATGAAGCTGATGCAGGTTGCACTGAAAGAGTTGGTGAACAGATATCTCTTACACATAATACTAATCTACCTGACAGCAAAGCCTCGAAAGTTGATGAGAACAAACTGTCACTAGTCAAAGAAAGCACTGAGGATGCTGCTCTGCCTGCTTCTAATCTCTCATATCAGCGCAGAGCACGTAGTGCAGAGACAGTGTCACACCAGCAACCTGACAACCATGACAGTGACGTGGAAACATTGAACTTTCCAGTTCCAAGTAAAAAGACAGCTAATGCACAGAAACGTCCTCCAGAGGAAGCACCAGAGAGCTGTAATGTTTCAGGAAAGGATGATGCCTTTTTATGTGTCCCAACTCCTGTGCACCGAGTGGCAGCGCTGGATGTTAATAGTCAGCCCATGCCATCAAACAGTAATTTGAAGGACCTTTATGCACTTCATGTTGACAAACTGTCACCCTCCTCAGTCCTACCTCCCATTGACAGTACACAGTTGTTAAGCATATCCCCTAAAGTGCCTATCAAGACTGCTTGCAGCAGCGCCATCCCAAAACCTATCCTGGTCCACTCCAAGGGCTCCCTTGCAGATAAGACAGATGCGGACAGTGACTGCAGTGAAAAGCTGGAAGAAAGCATTGAGATAAAACCTGCCATACCCAGGCCCAAACCTGTGAGACCTAAAATCATCACATACATTAGGAGAAACCCTCGTTCAATAGAGCAGCTTGACCCTTTGTTTGCACCAGCAGGACTGCCCTTTGGTAGCCCTGCGTGTGGCATGCCCATCTCTACAGAGCAGAAGGCATCCAATGGAGGGGAGACAAAGTCTGCCAGCATCCTGTATGATAAATTTAAACCTGACCTCCAGAAGCCAAGACTTTTCAGTTCTGGATTGGTGGTGTCAGGAATTAGGCCCCCAGGCCATCACTTCAGTCCGATGAGCGAGAAGTTTCTGCAGGAGGTAAGGAGGCAGCTTTGAGAGCCTCTTCTGTATGCCAGGTGGTGGTAATTTCCTTACTTGTTGCTGTCAGAAGTTAGTTCTCATATCTCAAATAAGAAAGAAATTCTAAATCAATGCAATGTGTGATCATTAGAAATAAATTTACTTAGCCATTTCTGGCACTGATGCTGTTGTGATATCTGATCTGTGACTGGAAGGTGTCACTGCATTCCTCCAGTGTTTTCCAGCAAACTGGTCACCTGCTGGTAGTATAAACAGGGATGTCTAGAAAAGAAAAGACATGCTGTTTGAATTTATGCATAAATGGATTATGCCCTTCCTCCCCTCATAGAATAGCTTTGGGAAATTAATGTAATTTGCCCACAGAGACTTTTGCTCCTTAATGGGAAAGTTGGCAGGTTTTTGCAGACAGAGCACTAGAGGTATAAACTAATTCCCTCCTGTATTGAAAGCCAGGGACTATCAGAGCTCTTGTTAGATCGTATTGTTCATGCAGGAAAAGATTAAAAAGTCTTAAAAAAAGAATTACTATGTTTTTTTTGCTGTGTGTCTCGTGGTGTTATTGAAGGTATTTTAATGCCTGCCTCATTCTACATACAGTTATTTATCCAAGAAATAACATTGAAATAACAAATTTGATAAGTCAACAATCAAAAGTTGGCAAACACCCAAATTAAAATATTGTGTGTGTGTAGATTGGCCTTATGTTAACAGGAACTTACTGAAATGGTCATGGATTATAGGGTTTCATACAGCGGCATCTCACTGCAAACACCAAAAGGACAGTCCTCGCTGTCCTTTCCCCTCTAACTTCAGTTTCCAGCATTAACCCTGATATTTTGTGTCTGGAGTTAGAATTATGCAAGTCGTAAACTTGTGTATGCCAGCCATTAGTAGTATATCTTTACAGTTGTCTTCTAAGCTGAGGGAAGATTGATAGGTTATTACTCTTTAATGTATGGCAATGGAAATTAAAGCAAAAATAACCCAGAATGTGTAGCTGTTTCACCATGTTTGACATGATCCTCTAAAGACCATAGGTATCTACGTCTCATACAGTTTGGGTTCAGATAATCAGAAGGAGACAGGTTGTGGCAAATCTGAAGCATGATTTACTCTAGACTAAGGTTAGAAGGAGGGCACTTATAGGCTGGAGAAGATCCAAAACCATTTCCATAGAGTCATAGAATCACAGTATAGTTTGGGTTGGAAAGGACCTTAAGATCATCCAGTTCCAGCCCTCCCTGCCATGGGCAGGGACACCTCACACTAAACCATCTCACCCAAGGCTCTGTCCAGCCTGCCCTTGAACACTGTCAGGGATGGAAAATTCACAGCTTCCCTGGGCAACCCATTCCAGTGCCTCACCACCCTCACAGTATATATACCCTTATATCCATCCTGAACTTCTATTTAATTTTGAACCCGTTACCCCTTGTCCTATCGCTACAGTCCCTGATGAAGAGTCCCTCCCCAGCATCCTTGTAGGCCCCCTTCAGATACTAGAAGGCTGCTATGAGGTCTCCACGCAGCCTTCTCTTCTCCAGGCTGAACAGCCCCAACTTCCTCAGCCTGTCTTCATACGGGAGGTGCTCCAGTCCCCTGATCATCCTTGTGGTCCTCCTCTGGACTTGTTCCAACAGTTCCATGTCCTTTTTATGTTGAGGACACCAGAACTGCACACAATACTCCAAGTGAGGTCTCATGAGAGCAGAGTAGAGGGGCAGGATCACCTCCTTCGACTGCTGGTCATACTCTTCTGATGTGGCTCAGGACAAGACTGGTTTCTGGACTGCGGGTGTGCACTGCAGCCAGCTCATGTTCATTTTCTCATCAATCAACACCCCCAAGTCCTTCTCCACGGGGCTGCTCTGAATCTCTTCTCTGCCCAACCTGTAGCTGTGCCTGGAATTGCTTTGACCCAGGTGTAGGACCTTGCACTTGCCATGGTTAAACTTCATGAGGTTGGCATCAGCCCACCTCACAAGCGTGTCAAGGTCCCTCTGGATGGCATTCCTTCCCTCCAGTGTATCAACCGAACCACACAGCTTGGTGTCATTGCAAACTTGCTGAGGGTGCACTCAATCCCACTGTTCATGTCAGCGACAAAGATGTTGAACAAGATCGGTCCCAACACCGATCCCTGAGGGATTCTACTCGCTACTGGTCTCCAGCCAGACATTGAGCCATTGAGCACAACTCTTTTGCTGGTGAGAGTTTACCCTTATCCAGCCAGTTCTTTATCCTCTGGGTAGTTCGCCAAACAAGTTTGATGTCTGTCCAGTTTATATACAAGGATGTCGTGCAGGACAGTATCAAATGCTTTGCAGAGGTCTAGTTAGATGAGATCAACTACTTTACCCCTATCCGTCAGTTTTGTAGCCCCATCATAGAAGGCCACCAAATTGGTCAGCTATGATTTGCCCTTAGTGAAGCCAAGTTGTCGGTCACCAACCACCTCATTGTTTTTCATGTGCCCCAGCATGGTTTATAGGAGAATCTGCTCAATAATCCTCCTTTTACCCCCACTTCTCTAAGAAATATGACTTTGGGTGGGTATTCCAACAAGGGAAGGTTTGAAACCAAGAAGCTGCTACTTCAGAGAAGCTGTATTGCCTGGAGAAAAGGCTGGGAAGGAAAACTCAATCAAACTGCAGTTTGTGTTATGACTTTGCATTAGCGCAGGTGTCAGGAGCTGATAGCATAAGGTGATATTTCCTCCTTTGGGCTGCCACCCTGAAAGCAATTACCTTACCCTCCTGCTAGTTACAGAAATGCAAAGGGAGCTGATGTGGCTCAAGCATGGATCAAAAGAAAAGAAAATGATTGATCTACGGAAGTGGTCATATGCTTAGAAACGCAGCTGTGCACAGTACAGGTTCATGGCAGGTGCCTGATGTGTAATCAAAAATAATCAATTAGGATGTATTGACATAGATCAAAATCACCCTTTTGAAGGGACAGAGTAGAAGACTTGGAAGCTTTGGAAAGAGGGAGATGGTGGAGAAGGATGGCTACTGTCTTTATAAGAGAAAAAAATTGCCCTATTTCACACATCCAGTTTGGGCTTTGGAGATCTTTAAGTATTATTTTATAGCTCTTTACATAAGTATGATAGGGAGTGTAAATACCTGCTGTCAATCAGACCCTTCAGATAGCTAAATGACAGGAACATAGCCTAGGCTGCAGGGTGAGAGTTTACCCTTATGGATATGGCTCATGCCTTGTCAGAGGGTAGCCATTGGTTCACTTTGGTCACTACTTTAGGGCCATTGCCAAGAGCCCTGGTTCTGGTGGGGGGTCTATCAACAGATCTGCTGATCACCAGCTCTTCTACCTGCCTCCCCAGGTCTGTGCCTGCCCTGTTCAACCACCTCCTTGTGTCTGCTGCCCATCTGTCTGCACTGGAAAGCATGGATTAAAGCCTGTTGAAACAAAAGGCCTGTAGGGAAAAAGGGGATAAGGGGAATTGTTTTATAGTCAAACCAGCAATTCCTCACCAAATCTCATTATCCGAACGGCCTGAACCAATGTTGCCAACTCTTTCCTCAGATAGTTGCCTCAAGCAGCTGCTTGACAAGATGATTCTTGCTTAAGGCACTAATGTTTGATGCTGTTTAAACAAAGTAACATTAAGGAAAGTGTTGGGTATCCTTACCTGTTGGCTGTGCTGCCAGCTCTGCTAGGGATTAACCAGCCTGTGGAAATTCCTGTATGCTCCAAGCATTTGCTGCAGTCTAACAAATTCATTAAATGGAGAAAGCAGGAATGAACAGACAGTGACACACAGTAAAACTCTGAGCTGAGCTGCTTCTTAGTTGACAGGATGCAACAGACCTTTTATTTAAATTTCCTCACAAAAAAAATCTAGTACAGGATGTTAACAGGTCTCATATTAATCCATATCTTTCTAAAAAGCCTTAAAATGGCCTTATAATGAACAAATGCATCCAACTCTATTGAGACCAGTTGAATTTTACACTTCATAAATTCACTGTTAAATAGAAAAGAAAAAAATATTGTCTTTGTAACATGTTTATGTCCCCCCCAAAGCAGGATTTTTTTCTAAAAAAAGCATTTATTTCTTGAGGGATATTTAGGTAAATTACAGTTGGACTTGATGATCTTCCAACCTAAATGATTCTATTCTAAATCCTTCTTGGTTCTCCCAGCTTGAGAATACATTTTATGCTTGTGATTGAGTGATTCCTTTTGTGTGCATGTTTGTTGACCTTCTGTGTTACTCCTAGCATGCTGTCAATAAAGGAAAAAAGTGAGGTGACTAAAGGCTTGGATAAGTTGACCCAGCTTATCAAAAAGGCATGGTTTCTCTATTAAAGATTTTCCCTATTCTTTATACTGAAGTACTTAGCATTGTTGTGTTCACTGCCAGTTAAATGTGAAATGATCCGAAGTGTATAGGGGAATCTGGCTGAAATAAAGAAAAAAAAATACAAATAGAAAAGATAACTTTAGAAAAGATAAAATAAATAAAAAGACAACTGAATCTTATCCAGTAAAACAGTGTCATATCTAGAAGTTGAAAATAAAAAGCTAAGTATGTCCTGCAATCCAAGCCTAGAGAATCATCTATACAGTAAAAAAAATGCATCCTAACTTGTAGAAATATGTCATAGAAATACAACAAAAGAGGAAACAGGAAGATCTAATGGCAGGAAATAGAACTGCAAGCAAAAGGAAAATACAGAGTGAAAACATAATAATCAGCATTTGATCAATCTGCCCTCTTAATGCCTGTGCAAAAGCCTCAAAGATTCTATATTTAATAGTTTAAGACCAATCCTCTTTCTTTTACCATATTGAAGATTTGCTAAATTAGGATTAAAGCTCTTGAAGCAACAAGGATCAAAGCTTTTATAGCCAGTATTTAAGGACATATTCTAAATGCTTATAATTGGTAAATAGAAATTGATCTGGCATATTATATGCTTCATAACTTACAACACAATTAATTAGTTTTCAGTTATATGTCTTCCTAGATAGCCTATGGCACTTTTTGATTAACTTTAAAACAAATTTATTTCAGATTTCCCATTTCCTAAGCTGTTTTGGTTTTGTTTTTTTTTTTTTTCCTGTGGCCTAAATCAGATGCACTGAAAAAATATCCATGGGTCTTGTCCGCAATATGTTGGTATTGCTCTTTATTAGACAACGATGAAGCTGGGCTCTACCCAGAAATGTAAACAGTTCTTTGCAGGTGAGAGAGATGAAAATACTGACATTGCTGTGCACCCTTCTCCTAAATCATGAAGCAGAACAGTGAGGTGGGCATCAGAGCCCAGCTTGAGTATAGAAAGATGCAAGGCCTGAACTGGGGAGCCATGTCATTCCCTGACTACAAATCCTCTGGTAACAGCCAGTTTGATGGAGATATTTTTCAGCTTGGTACTTAACTTCTGTCCTCACAGTATGCACCTGTTAGTATACTGAGAGATTTGTCTCTCATTTTAGCAAGGCAGCATCTATGTGTGATAAACACAAAATATTTCACATCTGCAAATTTGCTTTTTTTCTCCAATTCAAACGGACAGCTGGGTTTTATACCTCTGATTTGGAATATTCAAATGTAAAACATGCCCACTTCCAGAACTAGGTCTCTTTTCAGGAACTTTAGGAACACAGGTTACAGTGAACATTTTGAATTAAGAACATGTAGCGGGGGCTTTTTTCTCACACAAACGATTTGACAATACCATTTCTTTCATTAAATGAACTCAAAATACCTTCAGCTTTATTTTTAACTAAATTAAAAGCGAGTTTCCACAAAATTGTATCTCAGAGTGTTTTAAGTAACTTCTAACAAAAATTTCACTTACACACTCTCTTGATGTGCCTACCTCTATAAATAATATCACCTTTCAGGACTTAACAGTAACTTTATTTTCACTAATTCAAGATCTTCCATTTGTCTGTTTTCTTTTGGGGAAGACATCAATTCTTTATTTGGGTTTAGTTCTGTATTGAGACTAATGTGTGTGTGTATGTATTTTTGGAGAGTGATTCATATGGTAACACCATCACTTTTTGAAAGTGATGATCAGTCTGCAGTGCTCTGAAGCCCAGATTCACAAGGAGGGAGAATTAGCCTTTATAAGCAACTTTCAGCTCCGTATTTTCTGGATTTATTGATTTCTTGCATAAATATCTGTGTTAATGATTTTTCTGTAGGTTGGGGAAAGGCCTGCAAAAGATGAATTTTGCCCTCCACCATATACACACTATGAGGTCCCACCAAGTTTTTATCGATCTGCCATGATACTCAAGCCACAGTTAGGACTGGGTGCAGTGTCCAGGTTACCATCTGCAAAGAGCAGGATTCTCATTGCAAGTCAGAGATCCTCAGGTAGCTGTCTCCATCAGCAAGGAGAAATAACGAGTGCTCCCAGCCTCTATCATCCTGATGCTTCAGGTAAAGTATGAACTTTCTTTCCTTCCTTTAACTGTAGCCACCAATAAGATACGGGTTTTTTTTTTCAGACAGAAATATCACAAAGTAAGTGACATCTTGACCTGATACGACAAAGCTCCAACAGCAGTCGTTGAGGTGTGTCTTTTTATCCTGCAGCAAGGCTGACTAGGGAGTCTGGGACTTGCAGAAAGATTGCTTAACAGATCATTGCCAAAGAAGAATCAATTTCAGTAATAATTTTCATTGTACTCTTTTTTTATCTTCCTCCTCTTTGCAATGCCTGGAAAATCTTTGTTTTGCTCTGTGGAAGTTAATTGGACCTTTTCTGCCATCTGAATATGCCATTCCCCACCATGTTGTGCTCTGAAAGCCTGGTCAGTGTTCAGAATTGCCAGCAGAGATCCTGATTCTCTGAAGCCCTGGTATACACCTCTTTGGAGGCATTTCCAATATCTTTTTCCTTCCAGTTGCTCTCCAGCTCAGCATGACCCTGGGCAGAACTGGGGGGGGGGGGGGGGGGGAAAGCAAGAGAAGAATCAGAAGGAGAAGTGTATGGTGCCACAAGACAGAGATAATTACTTCTACAAGGCATTCCTTGTTAGCCTGGAAAAGCTTGGAGGTTTTAGCAATGTACATTTAAATGGCAGCAAGTTCAGAGGCAACTGAAAATCAGTCACTGCCAAAGTGAAACACAGCAGCTGTGGACTATAAGTGTGCAGAGATTTTTTAAAAGAGTCATAAGGGATAAAGTTAAATAATGACTTGGGATTATACGGTCCCTCCTCTTGCCCAGCACAGGATTCCTTCTGATTGATGTTTATTTAACCTGCTCATGAAACTCTATTTATAAAAGTCTTCAATATGAGATCCTGCAGCCTTTGAAAGCAAGCTGTTCCAATGCATTGCCTGCTTTCAATTTAAAAGTTTTCCCTACTGTTTTGCTTAATCCCCATTGTTGCAATTTACTTCCTCTTTACACTCCTCTGGAGTGGACATGGGGCCTTCTCCCCTTTGTAGGTATTTGAAAACCATTACTCTTTTTCCCCAGTGTCCATTTCTCCATACTAAGCATCAGAAAAAATTTAGAGAAAATCAGAATGGAAATGGGCCAGAGCATCTTGACTTACCTGAGAGGACAGCATCAGTCAGTAATACAGGTTGCCAGGATTTGGGGTTTATTAGAAAATCAAGCTTGTCTGTAACACAGTGTCTCTTGACACTATCCTTCGCTATTTGACCTGCATCTGGAGTTTATCTATATTGATGCTGACCAAGCTCAGCTGTATGTGACTTCTGAGACACTCCAAGATTGCACCCTGGGTAGTAAATACCAATTCAGTTCGGTGAATTGAGTTCAGTAGCATTGAACACAGGAATGCAGGTGCAGAGAGCAATTGGATCAGATTTTCTGTTGAAATGAAACTGCAAGAGGCTGCAAGTTCAGGATAAGCCATTAGGTAGGGTAAGCCATTGTGTAACAGGAGCCAGTCTGGGAGATAGATATGAGAAGAACATATGAACAGGATATATTATCAAATCCACTGTCTTTTCTCATCCTTGGAAATGAATGTTGCCTTGATTTTTATTTATTCATAATCCATCCATCCATTATTTATATAATCCTGCATCACCAAGGACTGCACATGTGACTTTTTTTGTAGCCATTTTTAACCCAAATTGGAACTTGTCTTGTATCAATTTACTGTCTTCCTACATTACGTGACATTCTAAAATCTAAACATCCGCCTATCAGTTCTATTTATTGCCAGTAATGCTTCCTTTAAAAATGTCAGTGCATGAGAAGTATACATGAGGAAATTGCAGTGGTTGTTAGAGCAATTCCTGTTCCACAAAAATTGATTTCCTAAAGCTTTTCCTATTGATCAAAAGTTGTGGTTTTTTGATCTTGTCACTGATTATTTCTTGGACCTTGTCTGCTTTGCAGATAAAATTTAATTCACAAATCTCCATAATTTCCTTCTTACAACTGTTATTTTGTTTGTTTCTTTATTAATACATCACTGTTTCAATTATGCTATCAAAGATAACTCATGGTAGTCCAATAATCTGTCTGCCATCTCTTTCAGGATCCCGAAGTGTGTCTCATCTGGTCTTTGGGCTCTGACTGCTTTTATTGATTTTAGGTTACCCAAGACTTGTTCTGGAAAGGTTGTTAATTTCTCTAGTTTTTCATTGTCCATCCCAGGACACATAGTTTTCACTTCTGGCATATTACCTTACAATTCCTTTGTGAGATGAAGGATATGTTTATTTTATCTGCAACATCTTATTCCATTGCAAAGTACTTCTCACTGCTCTTTGTTGAGTTCTTTTATTGTCTTTCATGCATTTCTGTTACCTTATATTAGACTTTTTACATTCTTTTAATTTTGGCCTTTTATTTCCCAATTATCCATTCAAGATCGGCTTATAAACTTTTTCCTTGTCCAAAGCCTTTTTCCTTGCATACCTCAAATGACTTATTCTTTCTCTTAGCATCATATAACTTCACAGGTCAGCCCACCAGTCCTTTCATCTTTAATAATTCCATCTAAGTAGAATAAATTGCTCATGAAAGAGACTGGAGTGACAGCAAACAGGAGAAGACTAGTATAGGAGTGGAAGGGCAGCAGAGAACTGGTTCCTGTGGCTGTGTCCAGGCTGGTGCACAAATACAGACCAGAGATGGGTCCCTGATTGCTGGGGGGGTCTGGATAGGAAAGCAACACCTGGCATGCCAGAGCTGGTGTGAGGCTCACTGGAGGGGCTCGGGGTAGGGCAGGCACCATCAGCCAATTGTTTTAAGGTACCCAACACCATTTTCAACCACTTTTCCTCAACTTGCAGTTAGCTGTGGTATTAAACTTAAATCTGCATTATTGGTTTTGATGTAATATTTGAGAAACAGGATTAAGCACAGTTTTGATTAATAATCATATTTATAAATATGAGCAAATGAAATGCATAAACATATGCTTACTGGCAGGGGAGCTGGTAAGACCCTTGCCCAGGGGTCTTGTGGGGTGTGAGATCTTGGCTGACTGCAGCAAAAGCAGCTCAGGTCTAGGGGGTATTTTTCTCTCAAGAATACCAGTTCTGCCTTCAAGACAGCAGTCAGCAACTCTTGCAGCTTATTTCTGAGCTTTTAATCCAGTTTCTAATCCTAGTGATTTCAGTCCTGCCCTGGGGTAATGGGAGCAGAAGGATCTAGCCAGTTGCCATCCCATGACAAACTGTGAGGTATCACAGGAAGGCTTTTAAACTGAAATCACCATGGCACAGTATTGAGGACAGAAGCAGTGCCTCATAATGAGGATTTTATTCCCCTTTGCCATTCCATTCATAATGTAGCAGTCTGCTTAAACAGCACTGATAAGCTGAGTGGTTTGGCCTGTGTATAATACTAATACTCATAAAACTGACTCTAAAGTAATTGATAATTAAATCCCTGAACTGCCGTGATGGACTCCAAGTGATACAAGTACATTAAGGGTTTCGTTAGTTTGAAGACACAACTAGAAAGTAAAATAATAATGAATGATCTCACAAGTCTTATGTCCAAGTGTGATGCCTAAAATGTGACCAGAGCAGCAATCCATCTGTAGGACACAGTACACATGTGCCGGCTTTTGCTGTGAGTTCCTTGTTGAGCAGTGCTGCTTCTTAGGTGATGCTTTGCCTCATACGGGTCAGGCAAGCAGTCTGCCTGTATGAAACAGCATTCTACACTGTATGTAAGATAGAAAGTAATTGAATCATGATGTATTTAAAGGTGCAACAGCGTCTGCAAAAGTTTATTTTATGTAAATTGGCTCGGTTCCGTCTATGGGAAATCTTTAATTCAAAACAAGCATTGAAGGATACTGTGCCTATAACATATAAATGATGAATGTGTTTTCTTGGTTATAAAGACTTCTTGGAGCAAGCGTGTTAGGATTTGCATTAATTAGCTGATTATTGTGATGGAATTAATGTCTGATTTTGAAAAGTATTACAGAGATTTCATAATTAAAACTTCACTTAATTCTCCATTTTTCAGTAGTATTTATGGTATTTTTTCTCAAAGAGTGAGTTAATGAAATGATGTTTCCTTATCACCTCTTTGTGTATTAAATTTGCCAGTCCTGAGGGTCTAGCAGTTCATTTAATTTCTAAGCAAGCCAGCTCTTACTGAAGATACAATTCACATATAAATCAGGACAGCTATGTTCCTGATTACACAGGCACACACAGATATATACATTTATTTGTGTCTTTGTATATGTATAATGTATTTCATCATGAATACTACAATATGTCTACAGCTTTCTCTTGGTAGGAAAGCTTTGCTTTCACATTTATTCTCAGGAATACCTAATAACTTGAACTAGTAAATGAGATTTGATAATAGAAAAGGGGTTTTGAGGTTACTTCCTGAAATACTGCCTTACTGCTACTCCAGCTGTGTGCTTATTTTATAGGTTTTCAGTCTCAATTACTTGGATTTGAGCCGACAAACTTCTTAATTGTTTAAAGAAATAGTGACAGGGGGAGAATTCAGAGGGGAAAATATTCTGTATCCTGCAGTGTTTTCATTTGGCATTCTCTGCTTTCTTTCGGACAACAATCTGTATTTTGTAAAGAAAAATTAAGTGCTCAAAGGGAGAGACACACTTCTTTATGAGAGTTTTGCTAAGGGCATTGCCACTGTATCAAGACTTAGCCATATACCACCTCTCTGTTCGCCCCAATTACTGTGTCTTCAGAGAACCAAAATGCATCATATCACAAGGGTTGTCTATATAACTGTTGTGCCAAATTGCCAGTCATAAGAATGCTGGATGCAACAGCAGGCAAATGCTTCATATGCTGCCTCCTCCCTGGCAAAAGCCAAGCACCACTGCTGGCTGGGCACCTGCAGCCCTTCTGAGCAGCTGATTAGCAGCAGATGAGCAGATGAGCCATGGCTTTGGTGCACAGAGAAGAGTTCTTGCTGCTCTGGGCTTTCACTAGAAAATGCAGTAAGGGTGGATCAGGCACTGACAATTCCTGTGCTGGAAGTTTCTGTGGAATGCTGCTGCTCTGCATGTCAAAGTGAGCAAGGACACATTCTGAGCAAACATGGACAAAAGTGAACTGACAAATTCTTGGGGCGCTGAGAACCTGCTGAACAACCTTTCATTATCTGGGAGTTAGGAAGGCACAGAGCAGCTTTTTGGGGCTTTTAAATCTGAATCAAGAGGAGATGAGCGCTTCCTACAGTAGACGGTGTACTGGCTGATCAGAAATTAATTGATGTTCAGCAGGGACAACTGTTTTTCCTTTGTAATTGAACTGTCCCAGGCTTGACATTTGGGTGAGAGATCCTCAGAGCAGCTGGGCACAACCAGCTCATAGCTCTTTGAGTGTAAATCATTAAAGCCTCTGTTTTTAAAGCCCCTTTCTTCAGTTCTTGTTCAGACAGAAGTCATTATGCCTATGACAGGGAAACCACAAAGGCAGTAGCAACAGAATAGGTTGCTTGTTTTTGTTTTTAATCTGCAAAGATATCAATGACTGGGTTAACTCTGAGGTGGATTAACTGTGCAGGAATTTAACTCTGCTTGTATTATTTCTGATTAATTCAGTGACCTTGCAGGTAACTCCTTTGCCCCAGATTCCCGAATATGAAATGAGAATAATGATGTTCAGAACATCCTATAAAACAAAGTGAGCTTTCTGAGAGAAAATGACACCTAATGATTAAAGTTTTAAAAGACGTGCTTGTCAAAAAACAACAAACCAACAACCCACCACAAGAGCACAAAGGCTTGACAAGGATCCCTGAATCTCAAGTGAAGTCTTGAACCACTACTCTTCTTTTCAAAAGAACATATCTGTGTAAAACTTTTCTTTCAATTTCAGATTTCACAAAGAAGTCACATGAAAGTTCCTTATACTTGTGCATGGAGAGTGATTCATGTGTGGTGGGGATGCATAAGAAGTCTAGCTCAGTCTTTCCTTAAGGATCCCCAGGCACATCTGGCTTGTGTCAATCAGTCCCTGCCTCAAAATGTTTTAATGTTCCTAGATGGAAACAGCTTGAAGTGTCATAGAAAATTACTTGTGTGCCATGCAGACAGCAATACTTAATTCTATAATTAGCTTCAGGCAGTGAGACAACTGGAATGAATTTTTGCAAATTTTTAAAGCTTATTTTAGCAGATTTTTATTAAAATGAAAAGTGCTCATTAAACTAACTTTTGTTTTGAACTCCCAGACCTTGTTTGCAGGAGTGCTTCTATACTTCTAAGAAACAGAAACAAAGAAAGAACGTGCATCATAAAACTCAATGATACTTAGAAAATATGTACAATAGGCTGATGTCTCATGTATTTTAATGAGAAAGAAGACACAAAATTACTTAGTTTTAAGGATTTGAATGCATCCTTAATGAGGATAATGTCCTGCCCCCAGGACATTCATAGTACGGAAGAGCTGGATTACAAAGAATAGAAATGAAAAATAATTTAAGGATGATGATGAGTTCAAGATACCAAATATTGTTAGTTCAGGGACAATTTGAATTGAAGTCATAAACTGAAACAGACAGAGAAGTGTGAGAAAAAACACTGGATCCTCTGCCCCAGTCTGGGAGAATGATCTTGAAGAATAGGTAGAGATGGCTGGGTAATTTGTCACCTGAATCCTTCTGGTTTTAAGGAAATTATTCTTCTTCAGTGACAGCTGTAGTGGTTAGTTTTATGGCAGTGCAGAGAACTGGCAGCCTGGGAACTAGGTGTGGGCATCCCTGTGCTTGAGCTGGAGACATGGGAGTCCCAGGTGAACCTCACTGCCCTGGGGCAAGCACATCTCAAGTGCTTTTTAAATAAAACCATTTCTAATCACTTTTTCCCCTCCCCTTCCCCCTGACCCTGTGGAATTTCCCCTATTCTGCTGCAGGAAATTTGTGATATTTATAGCTTTTGCTGTAAAATTGAAAGATTTCTCTTTCCACATCAGTTTTCAGAGACTATTAGGAAAAAGCAATCTCAGCTCTCAGCTTGCATAGTGCAAGCCTGTTGGTACTTTTTTTGAAACTATAAAACCTGCAACTGACCATCCCATACCTTCTCCCTGCTGCCACTGACCTGGGCAGGTTCCTGCAGCCACTTTGCACGGATACTTTTCCGTGCTTCAAATCTGGAGGCTACCTGGTCTTGGTCCTGTCACTGAAACAGCACCTGTAATATTTTGCATACTGTGACTAAGTTGTGTGCCTTTTATCACATGCAGTTGCCCTTATGTACGCAATAGTTATCTGACAAAGATGATGTTTGGCCATGCACAGCCACAAACAAGTGTGTGACTGCACAGTCAGCTGGGTAAGCAAGATATCCAAAATACTGTTGAAGTGGCATAGACAGTCCGAGTCCTGCCATGCAGCACTTGTCAATGCAGAAATAGTCCTCTCAAACAGAGGTTCTGTCTAGAAGATGACTAGCATGTCGTTTTTATCGTTTGGGACTCTTAAAGCCTTTCACTGGACACTTTTTCTTGTTCCTGCATGAAAATCAATTACATGATTCACACTAATTGCAAGCTCTGCTGGTAGAATTGAGATCAGGCTCTTTAGTGGCTTGCCGTAGGATCATCTAGTTGTGGTGTGAATGTCCCCAGCATTGAGTAGATAAGATGTCTGGCTTGTGGTACTTTGCAGATAGCCTTAAAATAAATAGCTGTAACAGACCACTGTCAAAGCAGTGCTGCCCAAGCCTAGCAGTAAACTGATGGTAAACATCACTGCTTACCTGTTCTCCATGCTAATGTGCCTGCACTGCTCTTCACCTGCTCCTGGAGCCTACAGGTATTTCTGAACTCATCTGCACATCATCCAAATAAAAGCAGATTCAGGATAGGGGTCTTTTAAAGGAATGTGTTTTACAGAATAACAAAATTCTTAGTCTGATGTTTCACATATTTCTATTTCAAGAAAAAAGGCTTGGTTTTGTTGAACAAAACTTAGTATTATTATTGTGATGAGGTACACATCTGTCTTTCAAAATCACCATAACATTTTTCTGCTTAAAGGAGTTAGTCTTGTTTTCTATAAAGTCTCCTCAAAGTGTAATGCTTCATTAAAATTAATAAGGCTGTGACCTACATAGTTTACAAAAGAATTAAATACTGTAATAATATGAAGATTGCATTCTTACTGTGCAGTTAATTCCCAGTTTTGCTTTATATTATGAATGTTCACTTCTTCCTTTGAAGTATATGTCACGCTAATGCACAAATAGGGCTCACTGAAAAAGAATGGAAAAAGGGTGACTTTGTGGCTTTTTCTGGCAGAATATGTTGATTATTTTATTGCAGGCTTGCTTCCTAACCCACCAAACCTGATGACTGATTAAACGCTTTGGCACCAGCTTTTGGAGAACTTTGTTTGTTTGTTTTAAAGATATGATTTTGCTTCTTGGTATTCCAAGAGGAACAGGAATCTGACATCGTCAAACCTAGACAGAAATTTTATGTACACATGAGGTTCAGATCCATTTGGTATCCAGACATTCCAATTAAAAGGAAACTCTAATCTTTGATTTCTTGAAAACAATCCTGCTGTGTTCATGGACCTTTGATCCATGAAGACAATTTGGAGCATTTATGGGCCTGTGTTTAGATTTGCCTAGAAAATTTCGACTAGCCAAGAGCAGCAAGGATGCAAGTTAGGACACAAACTGGAGAAAGATGACTAGTTAGCAGTTACCACAGAGACATCGTAGCTGAACTACTACTGTTGTCTAGCTTCATCTGTCATAAGCCTGCTATTGGCAGTTGTCTGGGACTTGGTTGATGTCATTCACATAGGCGAGAAGTCCATCAGTGGAAATGGCTGCTGGTATATTAAAAAAGTACAACTTTACCAGTCATGTCCTTGTTTCCAGGCTCGGTGCAAGAAAAAAGGCATTTTCTTTTAGGGAAATTTAAAAGAAAAACTTCAAAGAAGTGTTTTCTTTGATGGAATACAAAGAACTCCTGTGTCCTTGAAGTGGACTGTAGGCATTCTACAATAGTTTCCAAAATTGGAGGCCATGAGTAGGGTGTGTACGAGTTTCTTTTAATTGCCATATAACAAATGTAAAATTAGAAAGTGATACAGCATAAAAGAAGATAACATTAAAAAAAAATCTTAGCAGACTTGAACTATGTTACTTTGCTGGAAGTTTGAGTCATTCCTCATGGGTCTTTGATGCATTTCGTGTTTTAAGAATTATTATGACCTGTAATTTTTACACAGAACTTCTTTTTAGTGGAGTGAGAATAAGACATCACTGGAGTTTGAGCAGCTGTTGAAACTTGAATTCAGTCTTTTTACTGACTATGTAGTTGGGTGGTGCAGGTAATGATCAGTGTATCCCAGTTCAGTTTATTTAATAAGAATTTCTTTCTTTTTCCTTCTTTCAGTTGATCTTAAGAAAGGCTCATGTCCAAGTGCTGCAAAATCAAATCTCCCCAAGCCCTGCCAGCCTGGACTTCGTCCTCCAGGTTATTCACGGTTACCAGCAGCTAAATTGGCCACATTTGGTTTTGTCAGGAGCTCAAGCGTATCCTCTGTCTCCAGCAACCAGTCAAATGACAGTGCTCAGAGTGATCAAAGCAGGACAACCAACCGTAAGTTCAAAAAGAGTCCTTCTTTCTGGAGGGATATTAAATAGATGTACTCCAGGATGGTCCAGGCCGGAGTTTGTGTATAATTTAGGACTAATGTAATCTGTGCAGCTCTCACTAATCTTTTCTGTGCCACTGAGTTGTAAGTTTGCTACCTTGACTTCCTAGAGTGATTTTTAAAAATATTATTAATAATAGATGAATAGGTGCTGAATGTACATTGCATGTAGAAGGGGCTGGTTTCCCTGTTCTAGAGAAAACCGCATTAAGAGTGAATCTGAGGCATTTTTCTATTTTATTTTTACTTAGAATATCCCTTCTTACAAGCTGAAGCAAATAATTGCAGTAAACTGTGTTTGGTAGGTATATTGCAGCCATGAAGAACACTTTAGGACAAAGATAATCTAAAATGAGCAACATAATCTTCCACATCTGTGTTTCTTCTGCCTGTTAATATGCGGTGTAATAAAGTCAGTTTAGAGAATTAATCAAATAATGTCAGAGATGTGAAAAGGATCAGAACTGATATTGTAGCTGTTGTATCTTCTACACACTTGGAAGAATTCCATGTCTCGAATGTAATTTCAAATCCTATTTTCTGTGAAGACTGCTGATTTTACCAAGTACAAAATAATACCCACTGGATTGTGCAGTTCCTGGAAAGTGTGTGCATGTCCTGGGCCCAGAGCAGGAATGGGAATTGAGGGCTTTTCATGACCATTTTTCTGTGAGGACTGAGTTCAACCCAAACTCTTTCAGGATCAGAGCAACTGGGATCAGGCCAGGAGGGGTGCAGACAGTGGGAACCAGGTGATATGAAACAACGGAGAAGCCAAGGTGCTGCAAACTCCTAAATCTTTCAGTGTTTGTATTCATTTGAAATGAATTAAAATAAATGAAGTGAAAATAGTTAAAAACTATAAGGGTTTTCTCTTTCCCATTTTAGATTGCGTAACTGAAATGCCAAAGACTAATGTGTCCAGGGACTTCTAACTTTGCCAGTCATCCCAAACAAGCACTTGCCTTTTGCTTTCAGGTTGGACTGATCGCTCATTTCTGTTTATTTCCTAATAAATTTATTTTGAGGGTAGTCAGCCTATTTTGCTTTGTGCTTTTTAAGCACAGTTTTTCCTTTTATCCTTGTATTTTTTTTGTGTGTTTGGTTACTTATAACCTTTGATAGGGACAGAATTACCTGATTTCTGCTTAGACCTCAACTACATCTCTGTAAGAAGTGTTGTTGTCTACCAATTTCAAGGGTGAATTTGAAAAAAAAATAGCACCTGTAGATACAGCACTATCCTTGAACACAGTGGAAATATACAGGTTCATACAACTGAGAATTCTTTAACAGGAAATTACCTCAGATTGTAGAATTTGAATCAATTGATATCTATTCAAAAAACTTCTTTGGAGAAGCATTAATAATCTCAGTTCCAGAAAGTTACATCTAACTCTTCATTTGTCTTAAAAGAAGTTGATTTCATTTATATATTCTGTTTTTTTTTTAATATTATATTTGTACATTAAGCCTATGAAATCTGAAACGATATTCCTTAGTTGCAGAATCCATGGATGTGGAAGTATTTGGTGCACATATTTTGTTCCAGCTGACTTTGTTGACCATAGTAACCATCTTTAATGTTGGGATTAGAATGTTGTGACCAACTTGTGCATGTTTCTGACAGATACAAAAATTACCCAGGGGAAGAGTTCTGCTTGTACAAATTCGTGTAGACACAAGCTCAGTCTGTAGGACCTATAATTTCTGCTTTTGTGGGCAAGTTAGATATCTCATCTAAGCAGTTTCCCTCCACTTCCATGGGGGAGCAACAGAATGAGCACTTCCCAAGGATCATCTCTCTGAGGTGGATCCTGTGACACACACAGCTGTCCAGCCCAGAAGTCTTTTGCTCGTCTTTAATTACAAATGGATAATGCTTCCTCCTGTATGTGGGTGAGAGACAAAGGTGTGCTGCCAAGTGGGTGAGAGCATGCCCTGTGTTTAAGGCATCAGCCCTCGGGTAAGTCATCACACGATAAGACACGTAACATGACCCACTTTCTTTGGGTTAAAGGCAACACAGCTCCTCTTCATCACTCTTGATAAGGCAGATGTTTCCTTATTGTTGAATTAACTGTCATAGAAACGTTATTAGTGTAAAACTGTATCCTCTTTTGCTATTTCTAGTCTATGTGCCAGCAAGTGTTAAATTAGTTGCCCAACACCCAAGAAACACAAATTGGTTTTTTCAACTACAGCTTATTTAACACAGATCAGCAGTGCACTTCAACGTGAACAGAGTAACCCCAAGAATGGATGTAGAAGAAACGCATCTTGGCATGACATATTATTTCTTCCCTTCACTTATGCTGGAAGAATAGTTTTATTTAAATTAAATAAATAGCTGATTCTGTAGTTACCACCTGAGACTGTATCTTTGACTAAATCAGACTTCCTAGAGGGAAGAGTGAAAATTTACTGTTAATTTCGTAGCTCAGTAGGGTAGAAAATGCAAAAAAAAAAAAAAGCTTTAGAAATCTTCAAACACGTATGATAACACAATTTCCTATTTAAGCAGCATCTCTGCATGTCAGGGAGGCAGAATTAATTGAAAACATCTTAGAAATGTGCATAGGTTATAAATAGAGGGGCTGCTACTATTGCAAATAGAGGGGCTCACCTCAAGATCTTGTATCTTCCATAAAAAGCAGGTGACTATGGCTGTGTGAAAGAAAAACAGAGATTTATTTTAGCGACAGAGTGTTTTAAGGAAAACAGGAATTCTTGATGGGGTCCTAGTGAGATCCTGTTACTGTTTTTCTCTCCCCTGCCAGATGTGGTGTTGTGCTAGCTCTTCCCAAACCCCTGATGATTACATTTCTTTTCAAAAATCCCAACTGCTGTCTCATTTTGGCATGCTAATACTGATTGAATACTGTCTAGGGAGTAAAACTGCACTTGTTTAGAGTAAGGAGACATGTTGTTTATGTTATGGAGAAATTTGTTAATGGAGCTGTGATGTGGCAGCTTTTTTCTTCATCAGATTTCTCCCCTTCCTGTGACCTCTCTGAAAGCAGTAAGGTTGGATGGGCAAGGAGCCTGTGCTATGCTCCTCAGCTGTCTTTCTGGCAATAGCTTTACGTGTTCTGATTGACTCAATTAAATAGATTTTCAGTGGTGGGACTATGCTCTTTTCCCATGGTAGGGACGGGGCAGGCTGTGCAGAACTTGCCTGCTTGTCCTCTGGTCTTTCCTGGAATCCTGTCCCTGGAGTATGGGTATAAGCCAGGCTGTTGTTCACTGATAACACACCATCTGGGGCAGCCATTCCACCAGCTGCTAATCAGGATCAGTTGTAAGGGGGTCTGCTCCTATGGGGTCCTGCCTGATTGTGTGATGAGGCTGGAGGAACAGCTCTGGCAACCAAACTGCTCAGCATCCCACCAGCTTCTGTGTCAGAGAACTGACCCACAAACTAGGTCACTAGTCTGTTTTGGCCATTTAAAATCCATTTTTTGATGCTCATGTGTAACCTGTGGTTGGCACACAGGGGAGCAAAGGTCTGTGAAGCTCTTTCATGATAGTGGCAGCTTCCCACCTTGTTGAAAGAAGTGGGATACAATGACAGAAGCCAAAGACCACTCCTAGGATGGGTCAGGAGAGCTCATCACGGCTCACCACTGCCTGTCCTGCTGTGCTCAAAATGAAATGGTTAAAATGGTTCAGGGTGAGCTCTTTGTTCCATGGGGAGAACAAGGGCAGTTGTTTGAATGAAACTCAGAGAAGTGGAAGCAGTGAGAGCTCAGTGCACCAGTGGATGGGGTCCATCCTTTGTTGCTGCTAATGTTCGTCTCCATTCACTGGGGAGCCTGCAGCTCTCCGTGACACTTTCACACCTCTCACCCCCAGCTTCCCACATCAGAGCAGCTCTATGCCACAGTGCACCAAGGCCCATGTGAGGTCTTCTGCTGGGGGAAAGCCACATGGCCTGACATCTGGGCAACCCCAGGCTGAGGCTCAGCTCCAGGTCCTGTTATCAGCTCTCCCCAGATTTATTCCATGTCACAGATGATAGTTTTTTTCCAGTAGCACTTTCCTTCAAGATTACCTGAAAAGTTCAAGTGTGCCCCCAGTTCTGGCCTACTGCTTTTGAGGTTTAAAAATTAATAGTATTCTAAACCATTTTTCTTTATTTAGACAGAAGGAGGTTTGTATGTCAAAAAATTTGCTGAATTTGTTCACACTCTAAATTGACTAGAATTGAAAAATTCAGACACTTGGATTCTCTGCTAAGTATGAGAAAAAGCAAACAACTAGCAAAGTCATGTTAAGGTTGAAACCAGTGCAATTTGGAGTGGAGAGAAACAGTTGTGTAAACATCAAGAAAAACTTCTAGATTGCTAACTTATAACTAAATACCCAACTGCGTATTTTTCCTTGGATTTTTAAATGCATTATATTGAAGCTGCTCCTGTGTTTGCCCCAGTAAAATTTGTCTAAGAGGCTCATGTCATACAACAAAGGCCCACTCTTGTGGGATGTCGTTCTCAATATTATCTGGTGATTCTGCAGTGCAGTAACATGATGTCTATACTGTAGTTTCTCGTTTAGTAGTTTGCTAGTTTAAGGGCCTTAGATTTCTCCCACTTGCTTGTACCTGCATTTCCAGTGATCAGCTAAATGTTCTCCTAATGGAGTTTTGTGTACTTCAGAATAGACTCTAATATGCTGTAAGTATCACATGGGAAATAATTCATTAAACACCATGAAACAGTTCGATGTGTGGAGGATTGGAGGAAGAATGGATTGTATAGGATGAGTTGAGGTATAATAACTGCTATGAGTTTAGGTAATGGAAGAATGTAGATAAAATATCAGGAAATACTTTGTAGTCATAAGGTCTACTAGTCTGTTAAATAATCTTCCATCTCAAGTGATAAAATCCCTATTGCTTAAGATTCTTAAAATTGAATAATAGCCTGGTGTTAGAGGCAATTCT